TGTCCACATCCTCACCAACATTTGTTGTTGCCTAAGTTGTTAATGTTAGCCATTCTGATTGGTGTGAGGTGGTATCTCATTGTGGTTTTGATTTGTATTTCCCTGATGATGAGATGTTGAGCATTTTTTCATGTGTCAGTTGGCCATCTGGGTATCTTTTTTGGAGAAGTGTCTATTCATGTCTTTTGCCCATTTCTTCACTGGATTATTTGGTTTTTTTTGGGTATTGAGTTTGAGAAGTTCCTTATAGATTTTGGATACTGACTCTATCTGATATGTCATTTGCAGATATCTTCCCCCATTCTTTTTGTTGCCTTTTAGTTTTGCTGATTGTTTCCTTTTCGCTGTGTAGAAGCTTTTTATTTTGATGAGGTCTCAATAGTTGATTTTTGCTTTTGTTTCCCTTGCCTCTGGAGATGTGTTGAGTAAGAAGTTGCTGTGGCCAAGGTCATGAAGGTTTTGCCTGCTTTCTCCCCAAGGATTTTGTTGGCTTCCTGTCTTACGTTTAGGTCTTTCACCCATTTTGAGTTCATTTTTGCGTGTGGTGTAAGAAAGTGGTCCAGGTTCATTCTTCTGCATGTCGCTGTCCAGTTTTCCCAGCACCACTTGTGGAAGAGACTGTCTGTATTCCATTGGATATTCTTTCCTGCTTTATCAAAGATTAGTTGGCCATACACTTGTGGGTAAATTTCTGGGTTCTCTATTCTGTTGCATTGATCTGAGCGTCTGTTTTTGTGCCAGTACCATACTGTCTTGATGATTGCAGCTTTGTAATACAATTTGAAGTCCGTGATCTGGCTGACTTTTTAGAAAGGGGTCCTTTTACTGGGTCCTTCCTCCCTTGGAGTCTATAAGTAGAATTCAGGAATGCCTAGAAACTTAGAAAAAATTACATCTTTATTTTTCACTAACTTCTAACTTCTAACAGTGTTTCCTTCATTTAATAATGTAGCCAGTAAACTACAGCAGTTATTAAAGTTACCTGTGATTTTTTTGTCACCACCAGTAAAACATTTTTGCAGGATATCTTTATTATCATCACTTTGAAATTATACTCGTTGTTGGACTCACTGCTAGAACCTGTTTAATGTAATAACGAAGTACATATATTACAGTTTTTTCATGCTTAAATATTTTTGACAACTGTATGTCAATATACTTGCTTTTCTTTGTAACCTTATGTATTTCTTATCTGTATTTAAAAACACCGTGTGGAAGGTGTTCATTGATTTCACCAGCTGTCAAAGGAGACTGTGGCATTCAAGAATTAAGATTCCCTGTGAGGATTGCTTTGGTTGTTGTGATAAGAATGAACTGGGGGAGAAGGCAAGCAAGAGCAGAAAGAGGGATACAAGTTAAGAGGCTTTTTGCAATAATCTAGGTGAAGGATAATGGAGAGTTGGACCAGAGTAGTGGCAGAGAAGATAGTGATATGTAGTTGGGTTTTGGATAAGTTTTGAAGGTTGAAACAGAGGATTTGTTAGCAGATTGAATGTGTAACATGAGAGAAGAAGAAGAATCCAGGATTGCTCTAAAGTTTTTGTCTGTGCATCTGGAAGAATAGAGTTGACATTTACTGAAATCTCTTTGAAATTATCAGCAGATCTATAATACTGGATATGTCATAAATTTTTTAAACAGTAACATAAGGCTTATAAAAAGGTACAAAGAATAAAAGAATTCATGGTCTCACCCCCTATATGAACCATGTGAGATCAGATAGAGTTATGTATGTTTGTTAAAAATCAAAAGTTTGGCTTTGGATATAAGTTTGAGATCTTTATTAGACATCTGAGTATTTGTGATTTTGCTATTTCTACTTGGTATGCCCTGACCTATGCAGTCACTAGAAAGAATGAGGGGAACTTATACAAAAAGAACATAAACTTCTGTTGTTCATCTGAAGGTTTGAATGTTTTACAGTGAACATGTATCCATGTGTTAGGTAAGTTTAAAATGAGAAAAATTCGTATTAAAAGAATAAGAAAATAGTTACAGTATGTGATAAAAAATTATGTGGTCATTAGAAATAATGAAAAAGAGAGGTGCCTGGGTGACTCAGTTGGGTAAGCTTCCTACTTTTGATTTGGACTCACTCAGGTCATGGTCTTAGAGTTGTGAGATCCAAAATCCAGCTCCACTTCAGGCTTGGTGCTGGGTGTGGAACCTCCTTAAGAGTCTCTGCTTGCCCCTCCCCTGTGCAAGTGAATGCATGTGTTTGTGCACTCTCTCTCTCTCAAATAATAATAATAATAATAATAATAATAATAATAATAATAGAAGATATTTGTATATACCACCATGGAAGGGCTCTAAACTCTATAAATTAAGTAAACAAAAATAAGGTGAAGACAAAATAAATCGATAAGTGTGTCAGAATCACAGTAAATCTAACACTAGTCACCTTTAGAGAAAGACCTGGATTGACAGGTAGATGCCCCCCACCCCTCCTTTTAAGCAGTTGAGTTTACTAACTTTGTACATGTATTCCTTAAGTGTTGTGGTTCATATGGGAGGCGAGCTTATGGGTTCTATTATTCTTTGTATCTTTGTATTTTTATAAATGCTACAGTTTTAAAATTTTATATCTAATATAGAAAATCATATATATATACTATGATCTTTATTATGAGTAAAATGTGACTATGTACATATATGACTAGAAGAAAAGATTATGGGATGTACATTAAAATGTTACTAGTGGTTTTCTCTGGGTGATGGAAATTGGGGTGTTTTTAAAAACATATTTTTCTTTAATTTCTTGTAGACTATGAGAAGACAACGAAATGAAGTTGTAGTTGAATTAAGGAAGGTGAGTCTGATTAATATTGGGTACTTTCAAGCATAATTCTAACAGCATTATAGCATATATGGAAGGTACTAAATGTATATTAATCTCAAGTGCCTAGCATTTCTTTTTCTTTTGAAAACTGAAGGATTTTGACTAAACTTAGGCTATTGAAGTTGGCAAGATACAACTTGTCCACTATCCAGAAATAGAGATAAATGAATTCTTATATGGTGTTTTTCTTTTGTAATTTTTAATAATTTATATGAAGTGTAAGTCATAACTATACAGTTTTACTAAATAATTCTGCTATTTACAGGTGTAAATATGCCCTGAAAAGAACTTATTTTACTTACAAATTTCATCAACTTTTCAAGTATTAAAATAAGTTATGTCTGTAAAAAAAGAAAAATGGGTTATAGTTGGAAATATATATCTTTAAATTTGTCCCACACATTTTAAGTGAAATTTAAGTGGCCCTTGATTTTTGTGAGGAATTGTTGATTTCTGTCTGATTTTGAACTGCCCACCTTTTGCTTTGACTTTGTTTTTAGGTGATAAAGAGAAGCTCCCAGATGATGTATAAAATGGTTTAGTACTTTTAAATAAATATGTATGTTTGGTTCTGGCTTAAACTGTACACTATCTTTTTTAATCAGAATTTTTTGTTTTTCAGTTTGTTTTTATATAGTTCACGGTTCATTAAAAATGTAGTATTTGGGGTTTGGGTCTCAAATTAGTGTTGCTTAAGTGTTTGATTCACAGTTTGGTTTAATTTTTCATTTGCGTTTTACTTTTAAAAGGCACTTCCTGTTTCATTTTGTAGGACAGGATTGCATAACCTTTGTATGAAACTATCTTTTTATTTAACTAAAGTTCTTTTTCTGATTTTTTTGTTTTTTAAGAATAAAAGAGATGAACATCTCTTAAAGAGAAGGAATGTACCACATGAAGATATCTGTGAAGATTCTGATATAGATGGCGATTATAGAGTGGTAAGTTATCATTATTCTGGTAACATAAAACTACGAATGAAAGATTTTACATAAATAAAGAATTTTAAGGTGACTTTTTAACTTTGTTTTCTCTGTAATTTTTTTACAGCAAAATACCTCTCTAGAAGCTATTGTTCAAGTAAGTTGAGTGTTTTCCCGTGTCTTCATTTGTATTTCTAATTACTGTGTATCTATATCAAAAATTGTTTTAATTTTTTATAGAATGCTTCAAGTGATAACCAAGGAATTCAGTTAAGTGCAGTTCAAGCTGCTAGGTAAGTTAAATTTTGAGGACATATTTAAATTTCATAACTTACACAGGAGTTCTGTTTGACTTTTCACTATGTAATACTACTGTGACTCAAGTTTGATGACAAACAATAAAGAACAGTCCATAGACTAAATTTACTTAAAAATTTTTTTTCTGGTTTAGTGTATTGATAGCAGTTTTTTCTAAACTCAGATAAAGTTTCAAGTTGCAGAATACATAGATGCTAGGAAAGAGTTGATTTGACAGGTTATTGCTAGCAACTAATAGAAAAGCATTATTTATTTATTTTAATTCTTTTATATGTTTTTATTTATTTTTGAGAGAGCACAAGTTGGGGAGGGGCAGAGAGAGAGGGAGACACAGAATATGAAACAGGCTCCAGGTTCTCAGCTGTCAGCATAGAGCCTGACGTGGGGCTCGAACTCATGAACCCGTGAGATCATGACCTGAGCCGAAGTTGAATGCTTAACCAACTGAGCCACACAGGCACCCCAAAAAACGTTATTTATAAAACTTCACTTTTTATTAATAGGTTTAATTTTATAAAAAGTCAGGTTTTTCATCTCCTGCCCAGGTAGCTAATTCTTTTCACAGTCCTTATTTTAATCAAACAATAAATTGAGTTATAAGCTTACTATAGCAGTGTACAGGCAAGTAGACATTAAGATTTAGGGCTACAATTTGTAACTAGGTGGATGGAACTAGAGGGTGTTATGCTAAGTGAAATTAGTCAGAGAAAGACAAATATCCTATGACTTCACTCATATGAGGACTTTAAGATACAAAACAGATGAACAAGGGAAGGGAAGCAAAAAATATAAAAACAGGGAGGGGGATAAAACATAAGAGACTCTTAAATATGGAGAATAAACAGAGGGTTACTGGAGAGGTTGTGGGGGGGGGATGGGCTAAATGGGTAAGGGGCATTAAGAAATCTGCTGAAATCATTGTTGCACTATATGCTAACTAACTTGGATGTAAAGTTTTTAAAAATAAAAGATAAAAGATTGAGGGCTACAGAGTTTCCCAGTGGATTTCCAGGTAGGAATATTACGTTATTTTGTATATTTCTGCTGTGAAATCTGTGGTCTAGAGGTGTATGCTCCTATGTTTTAAGAGGGGAACCAGAAAAACTTGTTTCTGAGACCTTTGTATTAATGAATAGGTTATTAGTTTTCCTACTTTTGTGTATTTTAAAAACCCTAGAACAGATAGGAAAATTATAGAATTAACACTATTGCCCACTACAGGTAAAAGAACTTCGTAGAGAGGACTTGGTTATGTAGGAAGAAAATCACAGGAGTATTCACATCTCAAAATGGCAAATTATGTTTATAGATAGAATGATTATGAAATTTGAGGGGTACCTGGGTGGCTCATTCGGTTGAGTGTCTGACTCTTGATTTTGGTTCAGGTCATGATCTCATGATTCATGAGTTCAAGCCCCGTGTCAGGCTCCCGTGCAGAGCCTGCTTGGAATTCTCATTCTGTGTCACTGTCTCTGTCTCTTCCTCCCTGCCCCCCTCCCCAAAGTAAATAAATGAACTGGAAAAAATTGATACATTATGCTCACCATTTTTCATTGTTGATTATTTGATAGTTTTGGAGCAACTCTTCTCAATAGGAGTTCTACAAAATAAAGCCCTAAGGCCCCTAAAGCAGATATTTTCAAATTAGGGTCTTTGTTTTTTTGTGTTTTTTGTTTGTTTGTTTGTTTAATGTTTATTTATTTTGAGAGTGAAAGGGTACACCGGTGTGTGTGTGCGTGCAAGCAGGAGAGAGGAAGAGAATCCCAAGCACGTTCCACATTGACAGCCCCAATGGGGGCTCGATCCCACGAACCATGAGATCATAATCTGATCTGAAATCAAGAGTTGAGCACTTAACCAACTGAGCCACCCAGGCATCCCTCAAATGATGGTCTTTGACTCTCTAGGAGATACTGAGACAACTTCGGGGAGTGTACAAAATCAAACTCATTTATCAAAAATACTAAGACTTTATTTGCCTTTTTTAAATATGCTAACAATTTACAGTGATGTTGTAAAAGCACCTGTGGTAAAACTTGATGGTACCTTAGCACAGATCAAGACAGTAGCATCAAACTGATCTCATATTTTGTAGATACTATATGCAACATTATGCACTCAGAAAAAAAGGACATTTCTGAATATTTAAGAACGTCCTCAGTGAAGTAAAATGAAGTAAAGTAAATGAAGTAAAATTCTTTTATTAAATCTAGAACCTCGATTAAGAAAGACTGGGTTATTTTCTACTTTGTGTTAAGAATTGTGCCATGTTGTGGAAAATACTGTGAAAAGCATTTAGTATAATTCTTGCTATGTAGAAAGTTTAGAACCTAATTGAGAAGGCAGCGAAGTGTATTAAAAATAGCGATACTTAATAGCAAATGTAAGCATATGCTGTGTAAATGTTCTTGGAATTCAGAGAGGGTACTGTGAAAGCATACAACTTGAAATGGACTTTGAATAGATAAGAGTTTGAATAGATGGAAAAGAGGGCATTCCAAGTGTAGGGACTAGGATGTGAAGGGCCTGGAAATGAGATTGAAATGGTGGGACAGACAACTGATCTATTTTTGAATTACAGAGAATGAGATTAGTTAGGTAAAATGGAGCCAACTTGTGGAATGGTTTAGGCTAGGGCAAAGAGTTTTCATTTATTGGGTAGTAAATAAGTAGCCATCACTTGGTTTATATAGAGGAATCATCTGATTAGCTTTTATAAAATTGCTGTGCAGGGTATTCAAATGAGTGAGGATTTGTGTCATCCCTATGTCAAATATGAATTTGAATTTAATTATATGTCATTAAATTTCACAAGGGTATGTGTGTCTCTTATAGGAAGCTTTTGTCCAGTGATCGAAATCCACCAATCGATGACTTAATAAAATCTGGAATATTGCCTATTTTAGTCCATTGTCTTGAAAGAGATGACAAGTAAGTACATTATTTTAAGAACTAATTTAGAATCTATCTTTTGCAGAAAACAAGATTTTCTAGTAGTTAGTTTGATCTTTAAAGAAAAGGGCTATAAGATGGAACTGAAAAAGCCAAAGGGAAAAACAGTGCAAGGTGTGTTTACACCAAGAGGTGAACATAAAGGCTAAAGAGGAACTTGAGAATGATACATTTAACTTTTAAGCTTTGAGAATTGACAAGTAGTAGCTTGGCCGGTAAGTACTTAAGAAAACTGTTGGGTAGTAATATATAGGTATCTTAATAAAGAGTTTTTACTAAAAATACGGACACCCAAGGAAATTGGATGCTTTTTATACTGAAGAGATACTGTAAATAGTCATTGGAAGTTTAAACAAAAAAAAAAAAAAAGGCTAGATGTATAGGTACCTTTTGAAACAAAATATTTAATACTTTAAAAATGCTCGAGGAGAGGAATGGTTGGCAGATAGTGTATTTGGGCCAATGTAAAAATCCCTACTGTTTCATTAAAATTATTTGTTTTTTTGTAGTCCTTCTTTACAGTTTGAAGCTGCATGGGCTCTGACAAACATTGCATCTGGAACCTCTGAACAAACTCAAGCAGTAGTTCAGTCCAGTAAGTTGGTGATTGACGGATAAAATTACGGTTTCTAACAAAGAAGTTAGTAAAAAAAAATAGTGATTCTGTTAAAAGAATATATTATAAAATAATATCTATCCAATAACGGAGTAGTTGAAATAGGCCAACTTAAGTATATTACTTTGATCATGTTGTTCCAATGACTGACATTTTCTATTTCCAAAAATTCATTTGATGCTAAATCTGACAACATTTCCTAAGTATAGTAGCGATTATATTGTTGTAGTTTCACTTTATTTATAGGACCTCATACAAATACGAGTGTTTTTTCCCATTGCCTTACTACCTCTTGGCCTCTCTTAATGAGATTTTCATCATGCGATTTAGAGAAATCTTTTATAAAGTAGTCCTGTTGAAAAATAGCTTGAAATTTGTTCATTGCAATTTTAATAGGATTGTTTTTCTTTTATGTTCCAAAAGTTGTAAGTGGAAGATTATTGGAAGTAATAACCTGAGTATTGTTTTCATTAATACTATTTAATTCTCTTATCAAACAAAGAAATTAATAATTTTAAAGAAAGTACTTCTAAAATGCTTCTCAGGTGTGTAAGCAGGATGCTGGTCTAACTAAGCCTCTTAAAATCTTAAGCTCTAATTTCTACATGATTTTAAAGGGGAACAGAGGTTTTACCCAAGTAAACATTTTATTTTGTAGACATTTCTGTTCCTATATTACATAGAATATTAATACTACCTTAAATCATGATAAAATTGGCTTAATTTGAGGTTTAAATGGGTTTCGGTTTTTATGTTTGGTTTTATTTTGTATAATTGACTAGTAAATTTTATTATCTCAAGATAATCTTTTAGTCGCTCATTTTGCTTCCTAAGTGCTTTTTCAAGATTAGAAGGAGGCTTAGAATTGGTTTTAACACTGTCAGTCTGTCTTATTTTACCAAATATAATAGATGAATGAATGATTTTTTATGAGTAAAGCATGATCTACATGTACTTAAATAGCATTTTTCAAAGTAAAGTAATATCAGAAGAAAGAAAAAATGGAAGAATCATGTGTTCAATGCAGTATTACTCTGTTTAGATACAGATTTTTCTGTTTCCCATCCTTGTTCTAAAGCAACAGAACCACTTTTTGATTCAGAACGGCTATGTGGTACAGGAGTCACTGGCCTGTCTAAAGACACATGTGAAGTTTGTTTTTAATTGAGGTGTAATTGACATAAATAACATTAAATTAGTTTCAGGTGTACAACATAATGACTCAAAATGTATGTATATACACCAAGGGGTGCCTGGGTGGCTCAGTGTTTCAGTGTCCGAACTTGGGCTCATGTCATGATCTTAAGGTTTATGAGTTCAAGCCCCACATTAGCCTCTGCACTTACAGTGCAGAACCTGCTTAAGGATTCTCTCTCTCCCTCTCTTTTTGCCCAATCCTGTCACACTTGCTGTCTTGCTCTCAAAAAAAAATGTATACATCAAGAAGTGATCACAGTAACTCTAGTTTCCCCATCTTCATATCAAATTACATAATATGCATTACAGTATTATTGACTACAGTTACCATGTTGTACATTTCATTTCATTCCTGTGACTTGTTTTATGACCAGAAGTTTGTAACTCTTGGCCCCCTTCTCCTATTTCACCCACCCCCAAAAAACCCTCCCCTCTCTCAACCACCAATCTGTTCTCTGCATCTATGAGTTTTATTTTGTTCATTTGTTTTTTAGATTCCACATGTAAGTGAAATCATACATGGTCTTTCAGACCTGTTTCACTTAGTACCTCAAGATCCATTGACATCATAATGGACAGGGATTTATTTATTTATTTTCTTTTTTTAATGGCTGAGTGGTATTCCATTGTGTGTGTGTCTGTGTCTGTGTGTACGCATGTGTGTGTATACATGTGTACATGTACACACATCTTGTAATCCATCCATCCATCATTTGACACTTTGTTTCCATATCTTGGCTACTGTGAATAATGCTGTAATGAACATAGGGGTGCATATATCTTCAAAGGTTCCAAACGATTTCACCGTAAGTATCTTTGCTGAAAACACTTCCCCCACAAACGCATTGGCTGTAAAGCAGTTTTGCCATAAAAGGTATCCGAATAACTGGTTGACAGTTTGATTTGATAGTGTGTTTGTTTCATCAAATAATTGACAGTTTGCTTTCATTTCTCCATTGACACGGTACTCCCATTTTTATATTAATCTTAGCTAACCCTCATAATAGTGTATACAGTGGCACAGAGTTTTGAACCCACATTTCTCCTAGAACTTTGAAGCATCTATCAACAGACGTGTGACAGCATGCTGAGAACAGAGAACAAGGTAGAAGACTTTCACAGTGCCATACAAAACTGTTACAAATATGCATGCATCCTTGTATTTAGAAACTTAATACCTCCCTTAAGGAAAAAATTTTAGTGAAAAAATGAGAGAAGGTGATGCCAAATGAAGAGATGAATCAATAAGGAAAAAAAATGTATATTATGAAAGAAAGACTTTGAGGACAAGTGCTTACTCTGCAAAATAAAATCAGTTATTTGCATAGAATTACATGAATCTACACACATTTTAAATGTATTCAAATGTTGTATTTTGCAATAAAGTCTTTTTAATTAATGCATTTTTCATTTTGCATTATGGCCTTTTATTTATTTATTTATTTTTAATTTTTTTTTAACGTTTATTTATTTTTGAGACAGAGAGAGACAGAGCATGAACAGGGGAGGGTGAGAGAGAGAGGGAGACACAGAATCTGAAACAGGCTCCAGGCTCCAGGCTCTGAGCTGTCAGCACAGAGCCTGACGCGGGGCTTGAACCCACGAACCGCGAGATCATGACCTGAGCTGAAGTCGGATGCTTAACCAACTGAGCCACCTAGGCGCCCCTCATTATGTCCTTTTTTTAAAATTTTTTTTTTCAACGTTTATTTATTTTTGGGACAGAGAGAGACAGAGCATGAACGGGGGAGGGTCATTATGTCCTTTTAAATGAATGCCCCTCTTTTATGGCATAATTGCCTTATGGCCAATTAGTTCTAGGGTGAAAGTGTTTGTGGCAAAGATACTTGTGGTGAAAATACTGGGTACTCTTCTTAAATTTGTTTTCATTTTGCTCAGATAAATACCCAGAAGTGGAATTACTGGATCATGTGTTTTTAGTTTCTTCATTAGCCTCTACACTGTTTTCCATAGTGGCTGCACCAATTTACATGCCCACCAGCAGTGCACCAGGGCTCTCTTTTCTCAGCATCCTCTCCAACACTTGTTATTGCTTGTCTTTTTGATTAGCTGTTCTGACCAGTGTGAGGTGATACCTCCTTATGGTTTTGATTTGCTTTTCCCTGATGGTTCGTGATGTTGAGCATCTTTTCATGTCTGTGGGCCATGTGTATGCCTTCCTTAGCAAGATGTCTATTCAGGTTCTATTCCCATTTTGTAATCAAATTTTGGGGGAGGGGGTTGGTATTCTTTCTATATTTTGGATGTTAACCACTTACCAGATACATGATTTGCAAATATACTCTCATTCAGGAGGTTGCCTTTTTATTTTGTTGATAGTCTCCTCAGCTGTACAGAAGCTTTTAGTTTGATGTAGTTGCATTTACTTTTGCTTTTGTTGCTAATTGCATGTGAAGTCAAGTTCAAAAAAAATACTGTCAAGAATGATGTCAAGAAGCTTACCACCAGTGTTTTCTAGTAGAAATTTTTACAGTTTCTGGTCTTATATTCAAGTCTTTAATCCATTTGAGTTCATTTTTGTATATGGTATAACATTCTGGTTTAGTTTCATTCTTAATGCATTTGGCTATCCAGTTATCTCAACGCCGTTTATTGAAGAAACTGTCCTTTCCCCAATGTCTTTTCTTGCCTCCTTTGCTGTAAATTAATTGATTATATGTACATGGGTTTATTTCTTTTCTGTTGATCTACATCCCTGTTTTTATGCCAACATAGGTACCATACTGTTTTGATTAATGTAGCTTTGTAATATAGTTTGAATCAAGGAGCGTGAGGCCTCCAGTTTGATTCTTCTTTCTCAAGATTGCTTTGGCCATTCAGAATCTTTTGTGATTCCATACAAATTTAGGATTGTTTGTTCTATTTTTGTGAAAACTGCCATTGGGATTTTGATAGGAGCATGGAATATTGTTCCATTTATTTGTTTTTATTTGTTTCATCTGTTTCTTTCATCAGTGTCTTGTAGTTTTTTGCATAGGTCTTTCACCTCCTTGGTTAAATTTATTCCTAGGTATTTTCCTCTTTTTGATGAAATTGTAAATGGAGTTGTTTTCTTAATTTTTCTAATAGTTTGTAGCATATAAATATGCTACAGATTTTTCTATATTGACTCTGCATCCTGCAACTTTACCAAATTCATTTATTCTAGTAGTATTTTTTATGGAGTCTTTATGGTTTCCTATATGTATCATTATGTCATCTGCAAATAATGGCAGTTTTCCTTCCTTCCAGTTTGGATGCATTTTCTTTCTTTTTCTATTTGCTCTGACTAGAACTTTGAATACTGTTTTAATAAAATTGGTGAGAGCAGACATCTTTGTCTTAGTCCTGATCTTAGAGGAAAAGTTTTTAGCTTTTCACCTTTGAGTATGATACTAACTATGGGCTTATCATATGAGACCTTTATTATGTTGGGGTACATTTCCTCTGTACCCACTTTGTTGAGAATTTTTATCATAAATGGATGTTGAATTTTGTCAAATGCTTTTTCTACATCTGTTGAAATGATCATATGATTTTTATCCTTCATTTTGTTAATGTGGTATATCATAATTGACTTGCAGATGTTAAACCATCCTTGCATCCCTGAAATTTAACGATTTTTTAAATGTATTGTTGAATTTGGTTTGCTAGGACTTCATTCAGGGTGTTTGCATCTGTATTCATCAAAAATTTTGGCCTATAATACTCTTTATTTGTGATGTCCTTGTCTGAATTTGGTATCAGAGTAATGCTGGCCTCAACTGATTGGAAGGGTTCCCTGCTCTTCACTTTCTAGGAAGAGTTTGAGAAGGATAGGTGTTAAATCTTTGAATGGTAGAATTCAACAGTGAAGCTGTCTGGTGCTGGACTTTTTATTGAGAGATTTTTGATTACTGATTCAATTGCGCTTCTAGCAATTGGTCTATTTAGATTTTCCATTTCTGTCTTGGAAGATGGTAAATGTATAGGAATTTATTCATTTCTTTTAGGTTGTCCAGTTTATTGGCATGTAATTGTTTATAGAAGTCTCTTATGATCTTTTAATTTTCCTTGATAACAGTTGTAACTTCCCGACTTTAATTTATGATTTTATTTATTTGGACCCTCTTTTTTCCTTAGTCTAGCTAAAGGTTCACCGGTTTTTGTTTTTCTTCTCAGAAAATCAGCTCTTAGTTTCATTGATCTTTTCTATTATCTGTTTAGTCTGTATTTCATTTATTTCTGCTCTGATCTTTATTATTTCCGTTTTTCTACTAACTTTGAGCCTTGTTCCTCTTTTCCTAGTTCTTTTAGTAAAGGTAGATTATTTGAGATTTTTCTTGTTTCTTGAGGTAGTCCTTCTGTATCACTGTGAGCTTCAGGTTTAGAACTGCTCTTGTTGCATCCCATAAACTTAAGCATGTTGTACTTTCATTTTCGTTTGTCTCAAGATATTTTTAAATTTTTCCTTTGATTTCTTCCATGACCCATTGATTGTTCAGTAGCATGTTGTTTAATCACCACATATTTATAATTTTTCCAGTTTTGTGATTTTTATTTTCATACCACTGTGTTCTAAAAAGATGTTTGATGTGTTTTTGGTCTTAAATTTCATGAGGTTTCTTTTGTGGCTTAACATGTGATCTGTCCTGGAGAATGTTCCATGTGCACTTGAAAAGAATGTGTGTTCTATAACTTTTGAATGGAGTGTTTGTGTATATATATGTGAAGTCATTCTGGTCTAATGTGTTGTTTAATGCTAATGTTTTCTTACGGATTTTCTATCTGAATGGTCTATCCAGTGATGTAAGTGGGGTATGAAAGCCTCCCCACTATTTATTGCTGTCAGTTCCTCCCTTTACATCTGTCAATATTTGCTTTATATATTTAGGTGCTCCTATATTGGATTCATAAAGACTTACAAACATTGTATTTTCTTGCTGGATTGACCCTGTTAGCATCATGTAATGCCCTTCTTTGTCTTTTATTGCAGTCTTTGTTTTGAAGTCTATTTTGTCTGATACACATAGCTGATACACATGGGATAGATAGCTACCCCATGTTTCTTTTGGTTTCCATTTGCATGAAACCCTTTTATTCTATCCCTTAACTTTTAGTCTGTGTGTATCCTTACATTTGAGGTGAGTCTCTAGTAGGCAACATATGGATGAGAGTTATTTCCTATCCATTCAGACATTCAGTGTCTTTTTATTTTTAATGTTTATTTCTTTTTTGAGAGGTGGGGAGAGAGAGAGAGCATGCATGCATGTGAACAGGGGAGGGTCAGAGAGAGAGAGAACAGAGGATCCGAAGTAGGCTCTGCGCTGACAGCAGAGAGCCCAGTGTGGGGCTGGGACCCACAAACTCTGAGATCATGACTTGAGCTGAAAGCAGACGCTTAACCAGCTGAGCCACCCAGGCGCCCCAGACATTCTGTGTCTGTTGATTGGAGAATTTAATCCACTTACATTTAAAATAATTATAGATAAGTATGTGTACTTACTGACATTTTGTTAATTGTTTTCTGGCTGTTTTGTTGTTCTCTGTTCCTTTCTTCTCTTGCTCTCGTCCCTTGTGGTTTGATGCCTTTTCTTGAATGTTATGTTTAAATTCCATTCTTGTTATCTTTTGTGTATCTACTACCGGTTTCTGCTTTGCAGTTACCATAGGGCTTACATATATAGCTTTTACATATACCAGAGTATTTTAAGTTGATAGCAGGTTAAGTTTGAACACTTTCCAAAACTCCATTTTTACCCCCTGCCTCACATTTTATATCTTGTTATTTTGTATGTCCCTTTAACTGATGGGTGTAATTACAGTTATTTTTACTACTTTTATTTATTTTTTTTTTTTCAACGTTTTATTTATTTTTGGGACAGAGAGAGACAGAGCATGAACGGGGGAGGGGCAGAGAGAGAGGGAGACACAGAATCGGAAACAGGCTCCAGGCTCTGAGCCATCAGCCCAGAGCCCGACGCGGGGCTCGAACTCCCGGACCGCGAGATCGTGACCTGGCTGAAGTCGGACGCCTAACCGACTGCACCACCCAGGCGCCCCACTACTTTTATTTTTTAATCTTCATGCTAGCTTTGGAAGTAATTAGTCTACTACCTTTACCATATATTTCCTTTGTCTACTGATTATTTTTCCTCTCATATTTTTTCTTGTTACAAGTTAATGTCCTATCCTTTCAGCTTAAAGACGTCTCTTCAACATTTCTTGTAAGGCTGGTTTAGTAGTAGTGAATTCCTTAGTTTTTGCTTGTCTGGAAAACTGTTTGTCTCCTTCAATTAATAATAACTTTACTGGGTAGAGTATTCTTGGTTGGGAATTTTTTCCTTTCAGCACTTTGAATATATCATGCCTCTGTCCTGTAAACCATATCCTGAAAAATCTACTGATAACCTTATGGGGCTTGTCATATACACATTAAGTTTTTCTGTTGCTTCCTTAATTTACTCTTTTTATCTTTAACTCTTGACATTTTATAATTATAATGTGTCTTGGTGTGGCTTTTTCTGAGTTCATTTTATTTGGAACTTTTTGGGCTTCCCTGATCTGGATACTGTTTGCTTCTCCAAGTTAGGAAAGTTTTTAGTCATTATTTCTTCAGATTAATTTTCTGTACCTTTCTTTCTCACTTCTCCTGAGAGCCCATTATGGGAATGTGTTCCACTTGATGTTATCCTGTAGGTCCCTTAGCTGTCTTCACTTTTTAAAATTTCTTTTTTCTCTTGCTGCTCTGTTGGGGTGCATTCCATTGCCCTGTCTTCCAGATCATTGATCCTTTCTTCTGCTTTATCTTAACCTGCTGTTGAATGCCTCTCTTGTATCTTTTTCACTTCAGTTATTGTGTTCAGCTCTGTGACTTTTGTTTGGTACTTCCTCGTATTTTCTGTTTTGTTGAAATTTATTCTATATTCATCCATTCTTCTCTCAAGATTGGGGAGCATCTTTATGACCATGTTTTTGAACTCGTTATCAGGTAAATTATCTTCATTTCAGTAAAGCTTTTTTTCTGGGGTTTTATTTGGCTCTATTCTTCAGTTTACTTACTTGACTTGACTTTCTGTGTTTATTTTTTATGTATTAGGTGAAATGGCTCTCTCTCCCAGTCTTGAAGGAATGGTCACAGGAAGACAATGTTTTAGGCAGCAATCTGTGCTATGCTGTGGAGGTGGAGCCTGTCAAAAGTAGTCTCAGATTGTCATTTCCATGGAACCCCAAAATTTAAGACACCCCCCCCCCCACCCCAGTGACCAGTACCAGGCATTCAGGGAGTATCCCCTATGTGGACTTTGTGCTCCTGCCAGCTTTGGCAGGTCCACAGGGGAGTGCTAGGCCAGGATGAGCCATCCCACTGGGTTTGGTGGGGTGTGGCTACAACAGTGCTCAGGGCTGGGGTGAAGGGCTGGTGCAAGTTTTGCTAGCAAGGTAGTATGTATAAAAAATGGCACCTGCCAGCACTTCCATCCTTGGAGAAAGTTCCATACGACCCTCAATCCCTTAGGCTTTAAGCTTAGCCAATGAACCTCCTTTACATATGCTCTAGGTACTTTTCTACCTACTGCTTTTGTGCTGGGTCCTGGGGCAAGTGAATCTTTTAACAGATTCTTTTAAGAGTGTACCCTTGGTTTCCTACAGCCCTTTGGGTCTCTTGGACATAAGCTCTGTTGGTTTTTAAAGCCAGATGATTCGGGGGTTTGTCTCTGGTGTCGGTCCCAAGGGTTTGGGTGCCTGATTTGGGGCTCTAACCCCTCCTCAGGGATATGTTCCATATTTATGAGATCCATCCCACTTGTGAATCCCTCCTATTGCGGTGGTGGGCAGGAGTGGGGGGGGGGGGCATGGCTTTGTAAGGAGGGAAGTCTCTGACTCTCTTATCTGTCTCAGTGTGATCTTTTTATCTTTTGATACAGAGGACCTGTTCAGCTAGTTCTGTAGAGAGCATTGTTGTATATGTAGCTGTAGGTTTGATGTGCCATGGTGGAAGGTGAGGTCAGGATCTTACTATGCCACTGTATTGAACTGCACCCTCCTGTTATTTCACATTTCCACATTCAAAAGTTATTTCAACAACTGGAGTCCTTTTTATTCCTCCAAATTTGAGAATAATGCTTAATCTGTAAGGAATTTATTTATCTGTTTGTTTATAAGGATTGATTTTTAATTTGGAATTTTATCCAGGTTTAATTATGAATGAAAATTTGCCAATTTGTTACAATATTTGTATGTTGAAACTGCCATTTTGATGGTGAATTAAGTGGTCTGCTAGTTAAAATTTTTCCATTATTCTTACCCTAGTAAAAAAAAACATTTAATAAATACATTTTTAAAATATATATATATATTAATTTTTTTAAGTGTATTTATTCTGAGAGAGAAAGAAAGCTGAAATCAAGGAGGAGCAGAAAGAGAGAGGGAGAGACAGAATCCCAAGCAGGCTTTGCACTGTCAGATGGAGCCTAACATGGGCTTCAAACTCATGAACTGTGAGATCATGACCTGAGCTGAAGTCAGATGCTTACCCAACTGAGCCACCCCAGGCACCCCAAATATATTTTTGATAGCTTTCTTTCTTCTTAGGTTTCAGCAAAAACAGATTGGTTTTTGGTTTAGAGCATAGTATCTTTAGTCCCCCCCCCCCTTTTTTAATCAATATTATTGAAATTGAGCTCTAAAACTATTTTTAAACTTAAATGTAACTTACATTTTCCTCCTTTAGATGCTGTGCCACTTTTCCTGAGGCTTCTACATTCACCCCATCAAAATGTCTGTGAGCAGGCAGTGTGGGCACTGGGAAATATCATAGGTTTGTATAAAACTTGTAATGCTAGTCCAAAAATTATTATCATATACTGTGTAATAAAAATGACTACAAATAGTGAAAAATGAGAAACAATTTGTCATTTTTAGTACTGATTTTTGTGAAATAATTTATACAAATTAAGCTGTTTTAAGTGTAAACCTATGGTAAATAGAATGAATTTTTTGTTGCTTATGATACGGTAATATCTTTTTATATATAGACAGCTTTTTAAAAAAATATATAGTCAATCTTATTTGAGTAATTATGAAATATGTATCTCCTTCCTTTATTGTGTTGATGTGTCCATTTTATTCCTTAACTCTCCATTGTCATAGAAACTACTAAGAAAAAAGGTGGTACAAAATAAACCAATAAGTTTTCTCCATAATGGCAGTTCTAAAAAGAGTATAAATGGAAATTTTTAGTATTTTTTATAGATTTTAGTATGGTAAAATACAATTATGTTATCCATTATTGTGAGGTCGTCATCCTACAGAAGGTGTTTGTAGCTTATAGACCGTGACATTAAATGTTGAACACCATGATTACCATACCTTTCAGTTTTTCTTTGACATAATTGTAGGAAGCATAAAGACAATTCTAATATTTCAAGATTAAAAAAAATTTTTTTTTTAATGTTTACTTATTTTTGAGAAAGAGAGAGACAGAGTGTGTGAGAAGGGGAAGGGCAGAGAGAAAGGGAGACACAGAATCTGAAGCAGGCTCCAGGCTCTGAGCTATCAGCACAGAGCCCAACACGGGGTTTGAACCCACAAGGTACGAGATCAATACCTGAGTCCGACACTTACCCAACTAAGCCACCCAGGCGCCCCTCAAAATTTGTTTTTAAACTAGATATGAACTTTACTCAAACTCCAAAATTTAAAAATCTGTCCTCCAGTGAGTGGAGAATGGAAAAAAACTGGAATCTGAACTGTATTGTGTCCCTTAGTATTAAAGTTTATTTTTGGGGCGCCTGCGTGGCTCAGTCAGTTGATCATCCGACTTCGGCTCAGGTCATGATCTCATGGTGTGTGAGTTCGAGCCCTGCGTCAGGCTTTGTGCTGACAGCTCAGAGCCCGGAGCCTGTTTCGAATTCTGTGTCTCCCTGTCTCTCTGACCCTCCCCCGTTCATGCTCTGTCTCTCTCTGTCTCAAAAAAATAAATAAAGGTTAAAAAATTTTTTTTTAAGTTTATTTTTGCCACAGACCATTGTTCTTGCATGGAAGTAGTCAGTATTACTTTATTGTACCTCTTCTATATTACCCTTTGGGGGGACCAAGATAGAATGCAGAGGGATGGTTAGTGTCCCACAAGTAGGAGTTTTAAAATGGGAGAATTTCTCCGTAAAGTGTTATTCACATATGATCTGTTGCTGTTAAGAATGCTATCTTTTGTGTATTCAAATTCCTTCACCCCTTTGCTTTTATACTAAATTTTAGATTTAGAGCTATTAATGCAGTATCTTGATCTTTGGTTTTCATTTCCTGTGACATCGTAGAATAATTAGACTACATGGATGCCAAAAGAACAGGGATTTTATCTCCAAATATTGCAGTGCAAAGAAAAGGGTTTTCATTTGTGGAATGTAATACTTAACATGACTTTCATGCTAGAAATTACGGCAATACTCTAGATACAGAAATTCCATTTGGCAGTTCTCTAAGGCAATGATTCTCAAACTTTTAACTGTTTTCAGTATCCTATGATAAGGGCTTGAATTCTTGACCCAGAATTCTGGATTCATAGAGTTTGTTTTAACAGATCTGGGATAGGGCCCAAAAATTACTTTGGGAACCACTGCTCTAGGGATATTGGTTCATTTCTTCACCCACTCCTTTTTTTTGACATAGTTTTTTATTTTTTAACTTTATTTTTGACATAGTTTTTTTTTTTTTAAATATGTCAGATAATTTGTAGTTAATCCTTTTGGTACTCTGATATTAGGTCACAAGTATAAATTCTACAGATTTTTTTTCTAATAGTATTTTGATGTGTGTACATATACATATGTTTTTATTACATGAAAGTTTGTTAAACTGAGTACCATTGTGAGAGAAGGTAAAAGCAGCAGTTCTCTGCTCACAAAGTATTCTAAAGAATCCTTAGGCTTCTATTTTTGGATGGCATAAAAACATAGGTGAACAATTTATAAACCTGAATATGTAAATCATGTACCAAAAAAATATTATTATTTTATGTTGCTTCTCTTGGCTAAAAGACCTAAAATGAGAACTTGGTTGTTGTTGTCTAAAACTTCTTTGTAAGACTAAATAGCTACACTTTTATATAAAACTAATAGTTAAAAATCTAGAAAGCAGCATATGGAACCCACTGCCGTATGTTTTCTGAATTGCTTATTGTCAGTGTATTTTATTGAATTAATTGTTCCTTCCTACAGGTGATGGGCCACAATGTAGAGATTATGTCATAAGTCTTGGAGTTGTGAAACCTTTACTTTCCTTCATAAGTCCATCTATTCCTATAACATTCTTAAGGAATGTTACTTGGGTTATGGTCAACTTATGTCGCCACAAAGACCCACCACCCCCAATGGAAACCATTCAGGAGGTAAACAGGTGTTGTGTGTTTTCTTTTTTGTTTTTTAACTAGATACCATTATGTATATGTTTTTAAATCTGTATATTTCTCTCTTCAGATTCTTCCAGCTCTTTGTGTCTTAATTCATCACACAGACGTAAATGTGAGTATTTTTTATGTGTATATGTATGTATGTCTAGGGCTGCCTCTATGACATAGGGAAGAAAATCTTATGCTGAACATGATGTTAGTATACTCTATCAGATTTTTCCATTTCAAGAGCTGTAATAGCTTACTATTACTGTGTTTACTTTGTGTTTTCCTGTATCATAAAATATAATTGACAGTGAAGAAATCAAGCCTAACTATATTTTGTTTTGGGCAATAACATGTTGGAGGGGGAGTTAAAAACTCATTTTGAAAATTCTTAAAGGTGTGTGTGTGTTGTGTGTGTGTTGCAAAAACTCATTTTCGAAGTTTTAAAGTTGCCAGTTATTGATCTCTCCCATGAAGATTATATCTTTGATTGGTCAAGAGCTTTTTATGGAAGCTCATTTTAACAGCCTGACCAGTGCTTGAGAGAATACATAGGCCTAATTGTACTTTCATTTTTTGAAAGATTGAAAAAGAGAAATATTTGTGCCTTTATGTATGGGTTTGTATTCATAAGATTACATATATCAATTTAAGAACATCAATTGCTCTTTAATTTCATTTTCACTATATTTTTCCATCTATGGTGACTTTTTAGTGGCTTCACATGTTTTAGAGAAAACTCATAAATATCCAAACAAGAAAAAAAGTTCCTGCAGACTAGATTTTTAAAGTAATCAATATACCTTATTCATTCTCACCAATACAGATGGCAAAAGAAAAAGCACCTCAGGAAGTATGATGAGGTGGGAAACTGCCCTGACTGCTTACAAAACCAGCCTCACCTTCAGTGTATTAGAAAAGCTAGAAATATAATGGGTAAAAGAAAGCACAGGGATACAATGCACAGCAACATTCAGGAACTTAACATGGTTCCTTAGAAACAGCTTGGTGTGATGACCATTGTTTGATAAGCTGCTTCATTCCTTTACAGTTTCCAGGGTAATACCATTTTTCCAGGATCTGTCTAAAGCATATGGAACAAATCAAACTTAGAATTAATACTACATCAAGGAGTGACATATGTACAAAATTCATTAAATTAACATGATCTTTGCTCTAAAGATACTTTGTTTTCAATCCTAATAGTCCAAGGTCTTTTGTTTTGTTTTGTTTTGTTTTGTTTTGTTTTGTTTTGTTTTGTTTTGTTTTGTTTTAAAGGAACATATAAGCCATTTTTGAGTTTGGCTCCTGTAATACCAAGTTTTTTTATTAAATTACAAATTTTAATACTTTTAAAAAATTTCCATGGAAAGTTAGTCTGAACATTTATACCTCTCCCAGAAAACCTGACAACTTGATTGATCTTATTTCAGAGATGTATTGTGTTCTTTCCATTTACCCCAACCCAGTTGAAATTGTAACTCCATCTTTCTTGCTTTTAATATATCTTAAATTTCTCAAGCTAGTCTCATTATTCTTTAGTAGCATGTTTGCTAAGTAATATTGTTTACTATATAATAATATTTATTAAAAATATAATCTTTTTAGGTAAACTTAACTTAGCAAATTCTTAAATCAGACCATGAAAAAAAAAATAAAAAACTGCTTCCACAAAGCATAAGTGAAACACTGAAATTATACTGTAGTTATAATTAGTAAATTTATTATAGAACACTAACTTTAATACAGAAATTATATAGGAGATCAAGTCTGTTTAAATTGTGATTTTGATGTGAGCATATTAATGACATTTAGTGTTGGGCCTTTTAAAAAAAAAATTGTACAGTCATGGACAAGTAACTTGAAATTCTTTGCCTTTATCAACCAATTTTGGCATATGTTGGAACTCTAGAAAAAAGATTTACATTTGTAAGTTGAAATTTAGTTCTTTCACGTATTTCAATACCACCTTATGTGTGTGAATTCTTTGATTTGGAGTCTTCTTTTTACATTAAAAATAACCAAAGAGCTCTCTTTAGTTTTTGAAAGAAACAATAGCAAAGTGTTGTTTTCTCCTACCAGGAGATTCTCAGATGTTTCAAACATAATGTTGGTTTAGAATTTAAAAGGTTTCAGATGTTCCTGGCTTGTCTTTTGACACAGAGTTCATATTCCAGAAAGGCTTCGGAAGTAAAGTTCCAGGCACAATTACTTTTCCTGTGTCTTTGTCAATAACTGTATTATTTATGCAACAGTTCAACAGTTGCCCTACTTCCTTTTGGACGTAACTACTAATTAGACTTAATACAAAAGAAAGATGAAACACAATGGGCTTCTGAACTTCAGAATATAACATTAAAAATTATAGGTTAAATTATAGTATAATTTAGCTACAGAGGGTTTTTTTTTTTTTTAATAGGTAGTTTTGGCACATGCTGTAAATTACGCATTTTCTTTTTTTACTAAAACGTTTTTGATTATAGATCACACAGATTGACCTATGGTTGTTTTTAATGTCTCGATGTGCAGCTGTGGGACACTTCATTATTAGAGAAGTTGCCTCCAATTTTATAAGGCAAAGCAAACTGGTTGGAAAAGATGAAATTGCTATTAACTCCTAATACTTAAGTACTGGCTCGTGACATACCAACATGATGCCGGTGATACTAGAGAACACTTGAACATCTACATCTAGCCCAGATGTTTTGAATCGCTGTGTATGTTGGATACTTAATAGTCTTTCCAACTCTGTATTTACTACAATATCTTTGGACTTATTCTGCGTCAGTGTGAGTATTTGAGAAAGAGAATGTCTTTTTCTCCTATTTCCTGTATGGTGTACTGTGTATCTTAGTGAATTAAGATTAGCTACCAACCTGTGGTCAGGATTATAATTAACTGAAGCATACTGAATATGGCTAAAGGATTCACATACTTGATAACAGACATTGATAGATGATGTTGTTTAGTATAATAGCGATTAAGATTTCAGTGAATTGAGAGAAGAAGAAAAAAGGCAGTGGAACAATCATAGATTAGTCTGTATGGTTAAGAATTATTAAAGTTAGAAAATATTCAAAGGCTATTTGAATTTCATTTTATCCCTTAGATATTGGTAGATACAGTCTGGGCCCTCTCTTACCTTACTGATGCTGGCAATGAACAGATACAGATGGTAATAGACTCTGGAATAGTCCCTCACTTGGTTCCTCTACTCAGCCACCAGGAAGTCAAAGTTCAGGTGAGTTTGTTGTTAATAATACAGTATTTTTGTTTTGTTTTGCTTTTTTACCACTAATTTGCTTTAAGCATGGCATTTAAAAATGGCCAGTTTCATTAGTTCAAAGTATATTTCTAGCCTGATAACACATCTTTATTTTAATCTATTTTTTTATTGAAGTATAGTTGACACAGGGTTACATTAGTTTCAGGTGTACAACATAGTGATTCAACTTCTCTATATGTTATGCTGTGCTCACCACAAGTGTAGCTACCATCTGTCACCATACAATGCTATTAAAATACCATTAACTGTATTCCCTATGCTGTGCTCTGTATTCCATGACTTATTCATCCAGTTACTGGAAGTCTGTTTCTCCCACTCCCCTTCACCCATTTTGCCCATCACCCCACCTCCCTTCCCTCTGGCAACCATCAATTTGTCCTGTGTTTATGGATCTGGATCTGTTTTTGAGTTTTGTTTGTTTGTTCATTTTGTTTTTTAAATTCCACATATAATTGAGATCATAAGGTATTTTGTCTTTGACTTATTTCACTTAGCATGATCTCTGGGTCCATCGATGTCGTTGTAAATGGCAAGATCTCATCTTTTTATAACTAACATTCCATTTTATGTATATACCATGTCTTTATCCATTCATCTATCGATGGACTCTTGGGTTGCTTTCATATCTGGGTTATTATAAATAACACTGCAATAAATATAGGGGTGCAGATATCTTTTTGGAATAAAGTAAGAACATATCTTTGAAAGGAGTGAGGTATTAATTATATCCCCATATTTAAAAAATGTATATTATTTTTGAGAGAGAGAGAGAGAATGTGAGCAGGGGAGGGCCAGAGAGAGAGAGGGAGACAGAGGATCTGAAGCAGGCTCCACGCTGACAGCAGAGACCCCGACGTGGGGCTCGAACTCACAGGCTATGAGAGCATGACCTGAGCCAAAGTCAGGTGCTTAACCAACTGAGCCACCCATGCACCCCAATTATATCCCCATTTTAAAGGTGAAGAAAATGAGGGGTACCTAGGTACCTCAGTCAGTAGAGCATGGGACTCTTGATCTCAGGGTCATGAGTTCAAGTCCCATGTGGGGCATGGAGTCTACTTAATAATTTTTAAAATTTTTAAAAAGAGGGAGAAAATGAGGTAAGATTACTATAAGTCAACAAGAATCTTTCCCTGTCCCCCTATTCCCACCCCACCAAAAACCCCATCCCAGGTCAACTCCTTTGTTAATTACTGATTTCTAAGAATTTCTTAGGAAATTTTATGTGATAACGTGGTGGCATCTGAAATAAATACTGATATTTTAATTTTTTCTTTTTGTCCTGTTTCTTTTTGCCTACTCTACTCCTTTTTTTCCCCTTTTTATTTAACTGCCATACTACACCTGGCAAGTTTAATTAATGCTTAACTTGATTGGCACTGTGATAAAGGCTTTGTACTGAAATACGCTGCTCAGGAGCTTCCTAAATTGTTTCCTTTTAATTATTTCAAATTTTTGTTTTCTTTGTAATGTTTCTATTTATTTCTGAGAGAGCGGGGTAGGGGCAGAGAGCAAGAGGGAGGCAGAAGATCCAAAGCTGGCTCTGAGCTGACAGCAGAGAGCCCAATGTGGGACTCAAATTCATGATTCACGAGATCATGACCTAAGCTGAAGCTGGATAGTTAAGCCTAACCAACTGAGCCACCTAGGCACCCCTAAAATCTTCTTAACTTTTTATCCTTTTATTATTTTTAAATCCTTCCATATAAATATTTATCCCAAGCCATCTAGAAAGAGCCAAAAAAGAGAGGGTGAGAAGTTCACACAAATATTATGAGCAGTAACTGTCAAACTGCAGTGGTAAAGGGAGATACAGCAAGCTCTCTCCCTACCCTTCTGATGTAAATAGAACGCTTTCATCTTATGATGACTTACAGTCTGGTCAATAATAGCATAAGGAAAACCGTTAACGCACTATTTCTCAACCCTGGGTGGACATTAAGATCAACTGTGAAGCTTAAAGAAAAAAAATTTTTTTTTTTTATTTCCCTTGCTTGACCCTTGGTGATTCTGTTTTAGTAAATCTGGGATATTTCCTAGAAACCTGGGCTTTAAAAAGCTCTTCAGATGTTTCTCATGTACAGTTAGAATGGAGATACACTATCTTAAAATGTAAAGCACTTTAAAGAAAAAGGGAACACTGAGCTGAATTCAGAAGAAATTAATAGAGTAGTTTTCCATTTAGGGTTATTTGTGGTTCACTAAAGTATTCTTACTAGGGCACCTAGCTGGCCCATTCAGAAAAGCATGTGACTCTTGATCTCAGAGTTGTGAGTTTGAGCCCTATGTCTGGTATAGAGATTACTAAAAAAAAATAAACTTTAAAAAATAAATATTCATATACATATCTATTATTAAGCTTGCATTTTTTTTCTTGAACTTTTTTTAATGTTTGTTTATTTTTGAGAGAACACAAGTGAGGGAGGGACAGAGGGGGACAGAGGATCTGAAGCAGGCTCTACACTGACAGCAGTGAGCCTGATGTGGGGCTCAAACTCACGAACCACAAGATGATGACCTGAGCCAAAGGTAACACTCAACAAACTGAACCACCCAGGTACCCTTGAGTTTGCATTTCTTAAGTGCAATACTTATATCTCGGTATGGGTGTTTGGTCTGTTTTTTGTTTTCTTTTTTTCCGAATGCATCTTTAGTTTTAATATTGGACTTCATTCAGAAATAGGGCTGGAATTTTTCTTTAGCCAGCTTTCAAAGTTAATGTTGTAATACTTGTAATGAACCTCCATGTAGGTTTCCTCTATATTCCTACTTCCCCCATCAAATTATTTTGACATGTCCCAGATAGTATATAATTTCATCAGCTTTTCTTAAAAAATAAGGCTGTATGTTTTTATATAATCACAGTACTGTTAGAGTATCTTTTAAATCTTAGTAAAATCCGGGGCACATGGGTAGCTCAGTAAGTTAAATGTATGACTCTTGGTTTCAGCTCAGGTCATGTTCTCATAGCTTTGTGGGTTCGAGCCCCATATGGGGCTCTGTACTGGGAGTGTGGAACCTGCTTGGGATTCTCTCTCTCATCCTCTCTCTCTGCCCCCCCCCCCACTTGCACTGTTTCTGTCTCTTTCAAATAAATAAACTTAAAAAGAAAGTTAATATTAGAATCCAATCAGTATCCAAATTTTACTGATTGCTTCATTTTTTTTTCCACACTTTGATGAAATCTATATCAAAACAAGGTTCACATTGCATTTGGTAGCTTTGTTTTTATGTTCCTGTTACTCTACAGTTTTATTTTTCTTTCCCCTCTTAAATTTATTTGTTAAAGAAGCTGGGTCACTATGAAACTTTGTTTATTCATTTTGAGAGAGAGAGAGAATGTGAACATGAGCAGCTGAAGGGCAGAGAGAGAGAGAGGGAGAGAAAGAATCCCAAGGAGGCTCTGCGCTGTCTGCTTAAAGCCTGACACAGGGCTTGAACCCATGAACCGTGAGATCATGACCTGAGCTGAAACCAAGAGTCAGATGCTTAACCGACTGAGCCACCCAGCCACCTGACTAGAAACATTTTTAAAACAAATTAAAGGGGCGCCTGGGTGGCGCAGTCGGTTAGGCGTCCGACTTCAGCCAGGTCACGATCTCGCGGTCCGGGAGTTCGAGCCCCGCGTCAGGCTCTGGGCTGATGGCTCAGAGCCTGGAGCCTGTTTCCGATTCTGTGTCTCCCTCTCTCTCTGCCCCTCCCCCGTTCATGCTCTGTCTCTCTCTGTCCCAAAAATAAATAAACGTTGAAAAAAAAATTTTTTTTTTAAAAATAAAAAAATAAAAAAACAAAGACTTAGCTAAATAAATGGAAAGACATCCACATTCGTGGAGTAGAAGACAGTATTGTTAGAATGATAGTGCTCCCCAAATTTACCTACAGATTAAATTCAATTTCTGTTAAAATCCCAGGTGCCTTTTTGTAGAAACTTACAAGCTAATATTAAAATCCATATGAAAATACAAAGGTCCTAGAAATAGCAGAAACAAGCTTTAAAAAAGGACAGTTGGGGACTTCTCACTTTCAGAACTTACTGCATAGTTTCAGTGAAAAAGACTTTGTGATACCGGCATAAGGGTAGACATATAGATCAGTGAAATAGAATCAAGAGTCCAGAAAACCCCATACATTTATGATCGGTTGATTTTTAACAAAGGTGCCAAGAAAATTCACTTAGCAAAGAATAGTGTTTTCAAGAAGTAGTGATTCAACTACATTTGTACAATGTAGCTGAGACTTACTAAATATATACCTGTAAACAAATGAAATTAGACTCCTGTATATAAAAATTAGCTCAGAATAAACACCTAAATGTAAGAGCTAAAAGTGTAAACCTCTTAGAAGAAAACATAAGCATAGATTTTCGTGATAATCGATTATGCAGCAATTTTTTACATATGCTACCACAAGCATAAGCAATCAAAGAGAAAAGTAGATAAATTGGACTTCACCAAAATTAAAAACTTAAAAAAAATTTTTTTTAATGTTTATTTTTGAGAGTGTGAGTGGGGAAGGGGCAGAGAGAGAGGGAAACACAGAAGCTGAAGCAGACTCCAGGCTCTGAGCTGTCAGCATGGAGCCGGACGCGGGGCTGGAACTCACGAACTGCGAGATCATGACCTGAGTTGAAGTTGGACACTCAACTGACTGAGCTACCCAGGCGCCCCAAAATTAAAAACTTCTGCTTCTAAGGACACCATCCAGAAATGAAAAGACAACCCAAAGAATGGAAAGGAATATTCGCAAATCATATATCTGAAAAGTGACTTCTATCTAAAATACATAAAGAACTTATACAACTCAACAATAAAAAGATAAATAACCCCATTAAACATTGAACATTTAAATAGTTATTCAGAAAGATCTACAAGTGATCAATAAGCGCATGAGAAGATGTTCAACATTATTAGTTATGAAGGAAATGTAAATCAAAGCTGCAATGAAGGGGCACCTGGGTGGCTCAGTCATTTGAGTGTCCGACTTCTGCTCAGGTCATGATCTCATGGTTCGTGAGTTGGAGCCCCACATCAGGCTCACTGCTGTTAGCGCAGAGCCTGCTTTGGATCCTCTGTCATCCCCACCACCCGCTTGTGCTCTCTTTATCTCAAAAATAAACCTTAAAAAAAAAAAAAAAACTGCAATGAAATACCACTTTGTATGCACCAGGGTGGTATAATCAAAAAGACAGTCACAAGTTTCATCAAGGATGTAGAGAAAGTGGAATCCATATACCCTGCTATAAAAACGTAAAATGGTACAGCCTCTTTGGAATACGGTTTGAATAGTACCTCAGAAAGTTAGATATAGAGTTACCATATGACCCAGCATTTTCCATTCACTGGTAGATGCCCAAGAGAACTGAAAACACCTGTTCACCCAAAAACTTGCGCACAAATGCTTATGGCACTATTATTTGCCATAGCCAAACAGTGAAAACAATCCAAATGTTCATCAACTAATGCATGGTTAAATAAAAGGTGGAAATGGTGGTATGACATATCCATACAGTGGAATATTATTTGGCCATGAAGAGGAACGAGGCATCGATACATGCTACAACATGAATGGACCTTGAAAGTATGATGTTAAGTGAAGGAAGTCAGACCAGAAAGGCCACCCACTGTCGATTCTAATTATATGAAATGTCTGAAATAGGCAAATCAACAGAGATGTCTCAGGCATACTATAGTGGCTGTCAGGAACCCCTGGGGGGTGAGGGAAATGAGAGTGACTACCAGTGGGTACAGATACTCCTTTTTGGTGTGATAAAAATGTTCTGGAATTCTATATTATGGTTGTACAACTCTGAATGTGTAAGAACCACTGAATTGTACATTGTGAAAGGGTAAATTTTATGTTAATATGAGTTATATCTCAATTGAGGGTTGAAAACGGAGTCATTTGTCTTGTAAATATTAAAATTAGCTCCTCCTGCCCCCCCCCCCGAGAAAACTGTAACTTGACAGAAAATGGTGTAATACAACAACAGAAAAATAATTGATAATTCAAAATTCGTACAATACTGAAATCTCGTAGTAAGCAGCTTTCCTTCAGAAGAGCACTGTGTTTTTGTTTTGTAATTTATTGAAACACTGAACCAAAAATATAAAGTACTGTCTTCCTGTCTTTATGGCCCTAATTTACTATCCAAAATTATCCTTATTTGTTTGTTGACTGTCTTCTACAAGAATGTAAACTCCCTAATCCTGTCTGTCCTAATCACTCCTCTGTTCCTAAATCTGTATCAGACACAACTTGCTCAAAAAGCATAGTTGGCGTGAATGAAAGAATGTATCTTTCATAATAGAACATCTCATTAAATCTTTTGTTGCAGACTGCCGCACTTAGAGCTGTGGGCAACATTGTTACTGGAACTGATGAGCAAACACAGGTAGTTTTGAACTGTGATGCTCTTTCACACTTCCCAGCACTTCTGACACATCCCAAAGAGAAAATTAATAAAGTAAGTATTTTTAAATACTACTTAATAATAATAATGTATAAAGTATCAGCAGTTTTCATTTATAAAATTAGGGATTCAGAAGTATCTATAATGATTACTAATATAAACCATCAGCTAGATATCCAGAGAAGATACAATATTTTTCTCTTTATATCATGGATCTTTATGATTTTCTGTATATAAAACTGATAGTAAACAGTGCAGATTTGGCTCTCTTGGAAATGATGAAATAGAGATAATTGGGTGTTGAATGTTGTGTGATTGGAAACTTTTGATATGTAAGTTAAGTAATTAAGCTTAATATTTTATAGATAATAGAGTGTGTGTGTGTGTGCCATTTGTGTGTGTGTGTGCGTGCACTCATGGAGGCTATTGAAAGGGGGCACTGACTGGTGATGCTGATATTGGAGTGCATCTGAGGCTGTTGTAAAAATACATGGGTTGTTGATTACAACGTTGCCGATGATTATAACCCAAGAACAGCTCACCTAAGTAGCCTAGCACCCTAAAATCTCTAACAGGTTCATCAAACATGGCCCTGTGATCTGATCCAAAAGAGCCTACCTCACACTAGCTAATACTAATAGTTTATGGAGTAAAACTTGTTTCCTAATTTTTAACAGAGAAAATGTTTCCCTTTACATTGATAAATATAATAAATTTATTAAGTTTGATAAATTACCATAATTTTTATAATATCCTATGTAGGGTAGGTAGGTAGATATTTTGTGTCTTATTTCATGCTAACTGGTTTTAGTATGTATTTATTATGTATTAATTTGTGAAGCACGTGACTACCATCATCTTGGCAAAAGTAGCAGCACTGTAGTGTAAAGGGTAGCACACAAAGATCATTAAGGTGGGCCAATGAAGCAATCAGACATTTGGTGCCACATTAGCTCTTGAGAGAAATAGCACAGTGAATGACTTACAAATAAGTATACTAAAACAACCCACTCTTTCAGCTTTTGTGTCTCCATCATCATGGATAATTGAGATTTCCCAACTTTGGCGAGCACTCTCGATCACAATAGAATAGAGAATAAAGCACATTATGTGAGGGGGATGCTGAGTCTCATTTACAGTAGTTTCAGGATTTGTATCTGTATTACAGCTCATCAATTCCTTAGTATTTGTTCAGCCAAGCTTCTTTCGAGTCCTGTGTTTGGGAACATTGCTTAAGAATTCTTCAGAAGGGTTAGGTTAGTTCATTAGGACTTGGATCAGGGCCATAAACAATTTGTCCAAAGAAAATATAGGAGGGGATAGAGGAGTTGAGATTCCTAAAATTTTTATTATGGAACTCAGTCCATAATAAAATCATTTGGACATTGTAGCAAACATACTGAATTTAGGTCAGATGCAGATTTTAATTTTTAATGAGAAATATTGACGGAGTCTTGTTCTGCAGGAAGCAGTGTGGTTCCTCTCTAACATAACTGCAGGAAATCAGCAGCAGGTTCAGGCAGTAATTGATGCCAATCTTGTACCAATGATAATACATCTTTTGGATAAGGTAAGAAAATCCTCTTGCATGCATCTGGGTAAGAAGAAAAGGGTTTGAATTTAACAAATACACTCTTCTGTTTGTTTAATTAGAACCTATACAGTGGCATGAATAGTATAGTTAAGTAGTATTAACATGAAAACTTTGAATCCATTGATTTTTATATATAAAAGACATTTTTTAGGAACCCCTGACCCTTCTTCTGTATCATTCTTTTACCAAAATTACCATCATCCTGGGATTTATTAAAAATACATTATTATTACTACTGATGATAATGTTCATGGTCATAATTATTACTGATTGTAAATGCTTACATATTCTCATCACTCTACATATATTACTTCATTTAATACTGTAGCTCCAAACTATGGTATAGACCAATAAATTTGCCCAAAATCAAACAGCAGGTAAGTGTGCTATTTAATTGGATGCTATATCATCTCTCATACTTACTTTAATGTTTGGGAAAGAGACCACAGTCATAGCATGAGGGTTTTTTTCTGAACACTGATCTGTAATTAAAGAAGAAGATATCTCTGTCTTCTTTCCCTCCATATTTTCTACAAGCTGATAGTAAAGGCTTAGTTTCCTGTAGACTGGTAGATCAGGTTCAGTCTTTTAGGCAAGGCTTAATGCACTACTCTGTATTTCCTAATGATTCACATCAGAAGACACATACTGTTTGTCCCGTATCTCCAGATGTCCTAGATCTCCTGTTCAGATTGATGAATGAGCTCAGGTGTTCTCAGCCTACTGCAATTGATTGTTATAAACCTATTCACCAATCTTTTGCCTAGGGGTTTTTAGGTAATCAGTCATGATCATTGCATGGATCCCTTATTTTACAAGGAACTGCAAAATGGTGACATTCTAATTCTATCATACTTTATGTATTACCTGTGATTTTTCAATAAGAAACTATCAGCTATTGGTTTACTCTAAAATATGTTTCATATGAGAAAGACAAGATAAATTCTCATTATCACTCAGTTTTTAGAATAACATGGTTCCCTAACAACGTCAAAAGTTGACTAAGGTGGAGTTTTTAGTGTCCTTAGGAAATTACGAATTTATATTTTGTAGTTATTTTTTTTAACACTCAAATTGTCCCTGACCAATGGGAACCTCTTAAATTTAGTGCCTGTGTCTTTTTTACATCTCCTCAGTAGTTTATGAGAGCTTCCTACCCTTTGAGTATGACATGATTCTCAAGCTTATTTTGTGTATTTTCTGATGTAGACTCTCCAGGATGCCCTTTTAGGTAGCAGATAGTATTTAAGGACCATAGTTCAGGTCCTAAAGATGACCATTGTTATGAGGTTGTCATTGTTTTTAGGCCTGAGTGAACGAAATAGGTGATCAGGGGTGTTTCTTTGTTGTTGTTGTTGTTGTTTTTAAGTAGAAGATGGGGTGCCTGGGTGGTTCAGTCAGTGGAGCATGCGATTCTTGATATGAGGGTTGTGAGTTTAAGCCCTACATTGGGCGTCGAGCCTACTTTAAAAAAAAAAAAGTAGAAAATATATAGTATTTTTGTGAACATGAGAATTCATAAGAAACGAATCATGAATGAAAGGAAACTATCAGCTGTTACTGGGTATTTAGGGTAAACAGTGTTTTTATTTTCTCTTCGATTTTATATTTTTATCTCTTTTATGCTGGAATCTTTATAAAAAGATTGCAATATATATTGAGATATATAAAATTTATCAAAATAACAAAATCACATTGCCACTAACAACATGACTACTCCACTTTTAAGATTTCCTTGACGGTTTTTTGTCTTTAGGATATTTTCCATCAATGATGTGCTTAAAAGTAATATATCACTTGAAATGATTTTTTGCATGTGTGGCTAAGTCACCCAACATGAAATACAATTAGATTATTTCTGTTTTCTTTTGTTTGCAGAGTGGGTCAAGACTCAGTTTATTTTATTTGTTTTAAATCCAAGTTAGTTAACATACAATATAATGATGATTTCAGGAATAGAATTTAGTGATTATCACTTACATTTAACACCCAATGCTCATCCCAACAAGTGCCCTCCTGAATGTCCATCACCCATTTAACCCCACACACTCCCCCTTCAGCAACTGTCAGTTTGTTTTCTGTATTTTTTGTTCTTTTTTTTATTTTGTTCTTTTTTGTTATTGTTGTTGTTCTCTGTATTGAAGAGTCTGTTATGGTTTGCCACCCTCTTTGTTTTTATCTTACTTTTTCTTCCCTTCCCCTGTGTTCATCTGTTTTATTTTTTAAATTCTACATATGAGTGGAATCATATATTTATCCTTCTCTGCCTGACTTATTTTGCTTAGCATAATAAACTCTAGTTCCATCTGTGTTGTTGCAAATGGCAAGATCTCATTCTTTTTGATAGCCAAGTAATACTCCATTGTATATATATGCCACATCTTTATCCATTTGTCAAGCACTGGACATTTGTGCTCTTTCCATACTTTGGCTATTGTTGATAGTGCTGCTATAAACACTGGGGTGCATGTGCCCCTTCAAATCGCTATTCTTGTATCCTTTGGATAAATTCCTAGTAGTGCAATTGCTGGGTTGTAGGGTAGTTCTATTTTTAATTTTTTGAGGAATCTCCGTACTGTTTTCCAGAGTGACTGCACCAGTTTGCATTCCCACCAGCAGTGCAAAAGTGTTCCTCTTTATCCACATCCTTGACAACATCTATTGTTTCCTGAGTTGTTAATTTTAGCCATTCTGACAGATGTGAGGCAGTATCTCATTGTGGTTCTAATTTGTATTTCCCTGATGATGAGTGATGATGAGCATCTTTTCATGTGTCTTGTTAACTATCTGTATGTTTTTGGAAAATCATCTGTTCATGTTTTTTGCCCATTTCTTCACTGGATTGTTACTTTTCTTTGTTTAGGGTTTTTTTGGTTATATAAAGCAAATGGTTATATAGTTTCCAGGTAAAAAATGTATGCCTTATTTTAAAAGTACATACACAAAGATCTAATTTCCATTTCTTTCACATACTCTTCCTTCCTTTACAGATAATCATCTTTATTAGTTTTTGGGTTATTCTATTGTTTCTTTTTAAATATCAGCAAATGCTTATGTATTTGCTTATTCCCACCCTTTCTTACACAGCTGGTATTGCTTTTTTTTATTAAAAAATGTGTATCTCAGAGATCATTGCCATAGCATTATATAGAGAGCTTCTTTAATCCTTTTTTATACCTACGTATGATACTCCATTATATGGATGTACTATAATGTATTCAATCACCTTAACTATTTTATGATATTTGAGATGTTTCTAAGATTAAGGTTTTTTTTTTTTTCAGTATTTTACTAGGGAATACTAGAATTACAGATAGACATATATGTAAATTTTGCTGTGTAATATTCATCCCTGTCTGTAAAGATTGTACTGTTTTACACTCCTACCACTGACAGATACTTGGATTTTATCAGTCTGATGTATAAAAATAGATGCCCACTGCAACTTTAATTTTTATTACTCATATTTACATAAGTTTTTTCTTAATTACAAGCATTTTTCCAGATTGCTAGTCTTTTTTTTTTTTTTTAACGTTTATTTTTGAGAAAGAGAGAGACAGAGTTTAAGTGGCAGAGGGGCACAGCAAGAGAGACACAGAATCTGAAGCAGGCTCTAGGCTCTGAACTGTCAGCGCAGAACCCAATAGGGGCTCAAACTCACAAGTGGCTGGAACTTAGGAACTGCAAGATCATGACCTGAGCCGAAGTCAGACACATAACCAAATGAGCCACCCGGCTGCCCCGCTAGTCTTCTTTATGTTTAATAACTGGTTATTATTCCATTTAGATTTTTTGTAATTAGTTATTTCACTGTTGAGAATTTTAGTGGCTTTTACTTTTTGACTAGTGTGTGCTTCTAATACAATATATATATAGAAAGATACATAGTATTACTTGGTTTTAAATTATTTTCTTGGTAAATTCTCAAAGGTTCTCACCTATGAGAACTTCATATTATTAAGTATTACTAAGTATATTGCTAAATCATATGTATGACTGGTTAAATGATTTTTAAATATATTTTAATGGTGGACATTATCATTTTTAAAACTATGTTTAAAAGGATAATTTTACTTGACATTTCTTTGATTAAAGTGAAATGCACATTCCCCTCCCTTTCATCATTGACTTCATTTAATCTAATTGAACAGTAAAATCAAGTCAGTTTGTTGCTAGGAGAGACTGCAAAAGGGAGTCTACATTTGTTTAGGGCAAATTGAGTTGAAAAGCTTTTCTTAAATGAAAATGATGGGGGCAGCTGGGTGGCTCAGTCACTTAAGCACCCACCTTTGGCTCAGTTCATGATCTCCTGGTTCATGAGTTCAAGCCCCTCATTGGCTCCTCTGCTGTCAGCATTGGAGCCTGCTTTGGATCCTCTGTACCCTTCTCTCTCTGCCCCTCCCCTGCTTGTGCATGTACTCTCTCTCTCTCAGAAATAGACATTAAAAAGTTCTTTTAAAAGTTATGTATGCATATAGAAAGGCTAGAAGAAAACCTGGGGAAATAAACAGTTGAAAATAATTTCAGACAACATTTTTTCCCAATATCCTAAATTGAAGTTTGTATCCTTTGATTTTACAGGGGGATTTTGGCACTCAGAAAGAAGCTGCTTGGGCCATAAGTAACTTAACAATTAGTGGGAGGAAAGATCAAGTAAGTTCAGCTCTTATTTATTTCTCAAAACTGGTAAAAATAAAACAGTACAGATAATTCTAAGATTTAGATTTCAGTTAAATCCTAATTTAAAATAATAGCAAGGTAACAGGCATTCTGTAATTTTTTTTGCCCCATATAAAAGTGTCACCTTGACTTCCTTTAGTTATATTTCATAGATGAGAAGTGTTCTCTTTATACCATCTTAGCCTCTAAGAATTTTCTAATCCATGGTAAGATCAAAGCACATGTAGTCAAGATTTTGGTTTTTTATTTTTAAACAGTATTAGGGAAAAATAGGACTTTTTAGGTTAATAGGGCAGACTGAAACAACTTCACAGATTCTCCTAACAAGTGAACATCAACAATAAAAAGAAAGCAAACAACAAGAAAAATTTATCAGCAGCAGACAAAGCAAGGAAGGCAGGGAACTAACCAAAACCAAAAAGCTGAGACTAGAAATTAGGGGAAGGAATGTGAGGTGCCTAGGTTGTAAAATTTAAAGAGGCACTCATTCTAGAGTTGTGTGGGTGACAGAGGTTAACATTGTGCCAAACTAGAAGAATAAAATGAGTTTTAAAGATTTCAGATAAATTTTACAGATAGGTAAAAAGGGTGAATTTAGAGCTGATACACAATAAGCTGGTAATTGTCACAAGTGAGCTGTAGACTGGTGGTGAGCAAGGAATCCAGAGCAGAATATAAGTAATAGAACATGGTAATAACAGCATAACAAAATATAAAATGATTGAAAAATATTATGAAAATTGAATTGAACCAATTGAATAGTGAATTGAAGGTGGCTATGAGGGCACTAAATGTTGTAGCACTCTCACATTGAATACTCCAACAACGAACAATTGTAGCTTTAAAAAAATCCAGCCTTTTAACAGATTTCATTATTTCTTAATCTTAAAGGGGAGGAAAGGATCTTTGAAGAAAGTACTCTTTATGGCATATGTTTCATATGAAGCTGAGTGATTCCTTCATTTTCACTTTTTTTCTAAGTTCAAGAAAAGTAAACACTACATTTAAAAGAGAAGGAATCTAATAATAAAACCATCTAACAATAAAGTCATAAAATAGTCTAATGTAGTCTAACATAACCTGAAAGATGAGGTCATGTTTCCTACTCAAAATTTTAAAGTCAAAATTATTTCAGTGAGATCATTTGGTACACAAAGTTCACTTATTATGTCATGGTGTTTTTATTCTTCAGGTGGCCTATCTAATCCAACAAAATGTTATTCCACCTTTTTGCAACTTGCTGACTGTAAAAGATGCACAAGTTGTGCAAGTAGTACTTGATGGACTAAGTAATATATTAAAAATGGCTGAAGATGAGGCAGAAACCATAGCCAACCTTATAGAAGAATGTGGAGGTAAGTTACAGGCTATTATTTCACATTTTAATGTTCTTTTTGTAACTACTTTTATTTTCTGACTAATGTAGCACTTCTGTATTTTTCTCAGATAATCAAGTAACAGAATAAAGTAAATACTAGAATATGTACAGTCCTGCTCAGCTTCTTGCATATGCTTAGGTAATTGAATTGCTGCCATGCATTGAACAGGCACTGTGCTAAGGTACTGGGAAAACAGTGGTAAACAAGACACAGCCCTTGCCCTCAAGGCATGTAGTCTAGTCATGGAGATAAATATGAACTGATTTAATGTGCTAATTACCCTAATAGAAATGTACAACAAAATGAAATACCTTATCCATCCTGGAAGAAGCAGGAAGTGACACCTGAGCTGGATTTTGAGAGATGAATAAGGATTAATAAAGTAAAAAGGGATGAAAGGTGTTCCAGGCAGAGATAACACCATGAGCAAAGTCTGAGGTGAGACCTAGCATTCAGCAAATAATAAGTAGTTCACTGTTGCTGAATCACAAAGTACGGGGTAGATGGCTGCTTAAAGATGAGGCTGTAGATACAGCCAATCACCAGGCGTCTGCAGTCTTACAGAAGCTCTGTAGCACAGCAGATTCTTTATTCTATAGGTCAGTGGTTCCCAAACGTGACTGTGTGCCAGAGCCACCCAGAATGTAAACAGCATGTCTTAGCTTTCAACTCTTAGAATTGCCATTTAGATAGAACATGGAAGTCTCAAGTGTAGCCGTGGAACAAAATGTAAATGTTACCAACGTGGATGAGCATAAAAGGAAAGGGATTTCTGACAAGTGGAGAAGTAAATGAAAGGAGAAGTAACTAAGAAGTAGGAGAACCAAATCTTCAGTTTGCTTGGTGTGGAGTTCAGAGGCTTGAAAGTCAATTTAATAAGAAAAGCATGTTTAAAGTTACTAACGTGACAATTAGAGCAACAGAAAAATAATGCCTAACTATCAAGTTAGAAACAGAAGAGGGAGAATAGTGTTAGGGTACCTAATTAGGAAGTTGAGTACCATAAAAATTAAACACAGTTAAAAAATTTTTTACTACTTTTTTTTTTTACCATGTAAACATTGTAATTATTAAAAGTTTTATTTTTATATATTAAAATTAAAATGTAGATCAGAGCCTTGCCTCCATCACTAGACGTAAGGCCAGGAATCTGTATTTTTAAGTTTCTCCATTGGATTCTGCCCCAGGGTATTATAAGCCATTGAAAGATTTTACCTGGGGGATTGGTATATTTAAATAGAGCATGGATAGCAGGGAGATTGGGACCTTTGGAGACAAGAGGCAGGAAGCCAGTTAGGAAAGTATACAGCGGTTGGGCCATAATAAATGATGACATCAAGAAATGGATAGACTTTGAGGTTTTGAGATTTGATGATAGAGTATGGAGGGAAAGGGGTACTTGGGCTTTCTCTCAGATTTCACGTTGTTTGTTATCACCAAGTAAGAATACAGTAGGTCGAACAATTCAATTGAGGAGAGGCAAATAACAAATTGTGTTTTGGACATTTTAAGTTTCAAGTACCCATGAAACGTCTGGTGGAATTATCATACAGGTGTTTTAATTCTATGCATCTAAAGCTCAGAAAAGAAATGAAGTTGTAGATTTGCAGGTCCTCACCTATCTTAGTAGCTAAATTTTTTTCAGATTTTATTTATTTTTTAAGCTTTTATACATAAGCAGTCCCCATACTCAACATGAGGCTTGAACCCACAACCCTGGGGTCAAGAGTCACATGCTGTACTGACTGAGCTAGCCAGGCCTCTTAGCTAAATTATTTTCACTTGGAAGTGCAGGCCCACAAAGTGTGTGTAGAGTGAGAAATGAGCCCGTAACAATTTCTCCCTTGTAAGCATTAAAGGAAGAACACTCATGAAAGGGCAATTTCACTTTATTTCAGAAGCCTTAAAATTATTACTCCTGTCAAACAAAACAAGATCCAATTTGCATATCACTTTTTATATATTCTTTTCTGCCTGTGATTTAAAAAACTCATTAATGTTTATAGGGAAGATTCTCCTTAAATACGGTAGTTCATCTTGATCATTTTCTATAATGCTTAACAGATGTCTTAACATTCGTATTTATTAATCACCAGTATTTTCATTGTTTTTATACATGGTCATTATAAAAACTTGACAGAGGCTAGAAAGTAGAGAGAATCTGCTTTTAACTTGTAACAAACAAAAGCAGTCCATGTTGTTATTCCTTATAAACATTGGTTATGTAGTATTCTGAATAGAGGTGCCCCTTTGCTTGCTTAAACATTTACATGCGTTTAAACACTCAAGTTGTTAACTTTTTAAGATAAATATGCTGCATCTTTGTGCATAAAACCTTTTTATTTTTAAGATTCACCTTTAGAATAGATTCCTTAAAAATCACAGATTTGCAATCCAAAAATTGAGATTATGTGGTCCCAAGAGTAATGTAATTTTTTGTTGTTGTTGTTACTGAATTTTAAATATTACTGTTGCTTCACTTCATAAAATTTCTTGCAGGACTGGAGAAAATTGAACAGCTTCAAAATCATGAAAATGAAGACATCTACAAGTTGGCCTATGAGATCATTGACCAGTTCTTCTCTTCAGATGATGTATTTAATAATTTTATACTTTTCTTAGTTTTATGTATAAACATAAATCTAGAAATATAGTAAGGTCATACATGTATATATTTTTTTGGAATGGAATTAAGTATGTAGTAGTAAGGTCACCTCCAGAAACATAAATATTTTAGTATTTTGAAGTCCCTCAGGGGCGCCTGGGTGGCTCAGTCGGTTGAGCGTCCGACTTCGGCTCAGGTCATGAACTTGGGGTTCGTGGGTTTGAGCCCCGCATTGGGCTCTGTGCTGACAGCATAGAGTCTGGAGCCTGCTTCAAATTCTGTGTTTCCCTCTCTCTGTGCTCCTCCCCCACTCATGCTCTGTCTCTCTCTCCTTCAAGAAAAAAAATAAAGAAAAATAAAATTTTTTTAAGTCCCTCAGGGCATTAAAATGTAGTACTAGTTCTAAGGGCAAAAAAAGATAAGGAATTTTTTTTTATTTTTTTACAAATTTATTGACATTAATAGTTAAAAATAGAATGAAATGTTCTTATTTTGCAGTGATGCTGAAAGGTTTGCTTGTAAAGTATCTTTGTTGTTGTTTTTTTTTAATCTAATAACTGGAAGTTTGTACCTTTTGACTACCTTCCTCCACTTTTTTCTTCCTCCTCCCCCCACCTATGGTAACCACAAGTTTGATCTTTCCTATGAGCTTGTTTTTTGTTTTGTTAGATTCCACATATAAGTTAGAGCATACGGTATTTGTCTTTCACTGTCTGATTTATTTAACTTAGCATTAAATTCCCTCAGTGTTGATACATGTTGCTGCAAATAGCAGGGTTTCCTTTTAGTCTGAATAATACTCTGTTGTGTATATATACCACATTTTCTTTTTCCGGTCATCTGTTGATGGACATTTAGATTATTTCCATGCCTTGGCTGTTGTAGATAATGTGCTATGAACATGGGGGTGGAGATGTCTTTTTGAGTTAGTGTTTTTGTTTTCTTTGAATATATTCCTAGAAGTGGAATTGCTGAGTCATATGGTAGTTTTATTTTTAATTTTGGGGGGAGGGAATCCTCCATATTGTTTTCCATAGTGGCTGTACCAGTTTACAGTCCCACCAACAATGCACAAGGTTTCCCTTTTTCCATATCCACACCAGCATTTGTTAACTCTTGTCTTTTTTGTGATGGCTATTTTAACGTCTGTGAGGTAATATCTCATTGTGGTTTTAATTTTCATTACCCTAATTACGAGTGATATTGAGCATCTTTTCATGTATGTGTATACCTTTTATATTTCTTTTGGAGAAATGTCTGCTCAGGTCTTTTGCCCATTTTTTAATTGGGTTGTCTTTTTGCTATTGAGTTATGATAAGGATTTTTTTTTTTTTAACACTGAACAAGTCAGAATTTATTTTCACTTGACATCCTTATAGTTAATAGCATAACATGTTTGTAAACAAAGCAGTGACACTAGTATATTCTATAATGTTTATGACAGGAATTAGTTAACCCATACTTAAAGATATTGTCACTATTATTTTTAGTAGGTGACCAAAAATAAATATGAGGATAGATAAAATGGAAACAATAAATCATTAAGAAAGTTAAGTTACTGTATAATGTAAGGTGTAGTATACAAAAGTATCTTCATTTTGTCAGTATGTGGTAGTTGAAATTAAAGTATTAACTTATTTTCAGTATTGCCTCTTTGGAAAAATAAACCTAAAAGCAGTTATTCCTTTAAAAATTTTAATTAGGGGCACCTGAGTGGCTCAGTCGATTAGGCATCTGACTTCGGCCTAGATCATGATCCCGCACTTCATGGGTTCCAGCCCCATATCGAGCTCTGTGCTGACAGCTTGGAGCCTGGAGCCTGCTTCAGATTCTGTGTCTCCCTCTCTCTGCCCCTCCCCTACTTGCACTCTGTCTCTCTGTCTCCCAAAAATAAATGAATATTAAAAATAATAAATTAAAAAAATAAAATTTTTAAGAAAAAATTTTAGATACAGCCACCAGTGGATTTTTTTTTTTGATGATTCTCAACTTTTCAAAGAATAAGTCATAATGCCCCCAACCTTTCCACATTATCAAAAAAAAAAAAAAAAATTCAGTGTTAATGAAACATTTTGTTAAGTATATATGGTTTGAACATTAACCTGACAAAAACAATACTGGAAAAAAAATTTATAGACTATTTACCTACAGATGATCAAGCTAAGTTCTGTTTAGAATGTAATGCCATTTAAATAAATCAGAACTAAAATCCAGAAAAACATACTCTCTTAAGGGTATCTTGTATCACATGTCTTAGAATTGGATTTTTGGAAGTCCTAATTTGCAAATAGATACACACAAGACCTTATGATTTCTAATACCTCAACATGAAGTTATTTGTTACTCTCTTACATTGTGAAAAGAATAATTCAAATGTGTATTTATAGGAACTGCGCTGTAAATCAGTGATTTTGTGGTATTTCAAAAAAGAACCTTTAGCTATAGAGCATATAGAATATTATTTATTCATTATAGCATAGCTATTATTTTACTGTTTTAAGCCCAAAGGTCATTGTCTCCAATTGCTAGTAGAAAAGTATCTGAAGATTACATTTACTCTGAAAAAGTGACAGCATTAGTTTCTCTTTTTTTAATTTTTTATTTAATATTTGTTTATTTTTGAGAGAGAAGCAGAGAGACAGAGCGTGAGTAGGGGGAGGGCAGAGAGAGAGGGAGACACAGAATGCGAAGCAGGCTCCAGGCTCACAAACTGTGAGATCATGACCTGAGCCGAAGTTGGACACTTAACTGAACCATCCAGGTTCCCCTAATTTTTTTAATTAAGTCATCAACTTTTATCTATTTGCCCAGGTAAAAGAGAAACTATACATCTCAGTTTGAGATATAAAAGACCATCTCTAATTTCTTATATTTCACTGTTTTGGAAGATACCTATCTTGCATATTCTCTTAAGTTCCCTCTCATTTTGATGTCCCTTAAGAAAAAGCCTTTACAAAATATTCACTTTCTTTTCCTTTTGTTTTCTTTTTTTAAGTTTATTTATCTTGAGAGAGAGTGTGTGTGCAGGGGAGGGGCAGAGAGAGAATTCCAAGCAGGTTTCGATCCCACGAACCGTGAGATCATGACCTGAGCCGAAATCAAGAGTTGGGCGCTCAACTGACTGAGCCACCCAGACACCCCAGAATGTTTCAGCTTTCTAAAGAGATGGTAGGACAGTGTTCACTCTCCTCATCTTTCTCATACTTTTTTTTTATGGGAAATGAGAATATTTTTATAATGCTATTTATATAGCCTTTAAAACTAATTATCACTTGCTTTTTCTCTTTTCCTTTAGATTGATGAAGATCCTAGCCTTGTTCCAGAGGCAATACAAGGTGGAACATTTGGTTTCAATTCATCTGCCAATGTACCAACAGAAGGGTTCCAGTTTTAGAAAGATGTTGTGGAAGTTAGGTACAATGCAGCACTGAGATATATATATATATATACATATATATAAAAAGGTTTGATCCATCAAGCTTGGCTCATGGGATCTGCTGCTGCATTAAATCGGGAAAGAAAATGTGAAGATTTCATTTGGAATCACAGAAAATGCCCAAATGAGGTCAAGATGGCGAGTGGGTGCGAGTGAGAATGAGTGGCAAAATGTAACGAAAACTTTACATGAATGCTTATTTAGGTTGTTCAAAGTAAAAAGGGCTACAGGTCACAGATCTTCCGTGCCTGAGAAGGAACATTGACTTACTCTGTATCAATTGAGGGGAAAGTGCAGTACTGTCATCTTCAAGCCTTGTAAGCATAAAAGAGGATATGATGCCCATATAAGTCAAAGGAAAACGAGCCCAGGCCTTGCTATGAAGCAATGTGTGAATGGACAATGTTGAATGAATGTCTGGCTCAGTGATAGGGAGTCAGGTTCATCTTTCAAATCTAGGGCTCTTCACTCATGAAGCAGACTCCTAGTCCTGGAGTGACTGTGTACGAGAGTATGGTTGTGGTGCTGTATGTGAACGCATGCAAGCTTGATTCGCCTTCAGGGGGCTGATAACAAACCTAGTAAATCATCAAAGTGAGATCATAAGTGTTAATGTACACTGGACATGAAAACAAAGACCGGTTTAGCAGCAGACATTGGTTTACTCTGCAGCCTGTGTTTTCTATTCCCCCTCTTCCCTTTTCCCACCCACCCTCCTTTTTTTTTCTTTTTAGTTTTTATTTACTTTACCTAGTATGGCTTTTTAGTTGCTTCTCAAGTCAGAAAACTTTTCAGGAAGGTTTCCCTGTGCATTTGCACCAGATGAATGTTTGATGCTATGAAAAGCTTTCCATATCATCAAAACTAATTTGTGTAGATTTTTGCATGAAAAAAATCATAAATTTCCCTCAAAATAGACTGTGTTGCAGTACACAAGTTACCATAATAGTATAAAACAGTAAAATGTGCTTTAAAAAGCCATCCTTTTCATTTTCAGAGACAACATAAAGATCTTTGCATGAGGTAAATCTACAGCATAGTTCATTTTTAGATTTTGTTGAGTCCTGTAAAGAAGAAGAAGAAAAAAGTTTCAGTTGTGGTAGAATACCGTGCTGTGTTTAAATGTTACTTGTTTTCAAACTTTGTTTTCTATGAAAATGATATGGAAACTTCTAAAATGGAATTTGGTGCATATGTACTGCTGAATAAAGACCGATGAAGAGGTTTGAGTAGATGTACAAATCAAGTAATGGTTTGAACACCTTTAATAATATGCCTAATCTGTTCAATTGTTTTAGAATCTTTTTATCTTAGATGTAGGCAGCCATGAACAATCTATTTTGAGCCACTTTAGGGAGAAAACTTTGTATTTTTAAAACTTGCATAAAAGTTATGCAAGTGGTTTTTATAAATTGGAATAATACCTCAGTTTTGAGGTTATGCACACTAAATTAAATGTGACATAAATTAATTTGTACAAAAAGAACTCTTTATAAGGTGGCTCATTGTAGGAAATCCTGTGCCTTCCCCTTTGAGCACAAGTGTTGCATGAACAACAGTTTGCTATAAGAAACATACCAGATTAGCCACCATTAGCATCTATATCTACTTTGTGTTTAAAAATCAACTGGTAATTCTGAAACACTGTAGAATGGATAAAGATTATTTTGTGATCATAACTCTTTGTTGAACTAGAGTATTTTTGCAGCATTCCTTGTCATCAGAAACATGGTTAAAGTTTAAAACTAGAAGCAGCAGAAAACTAGCTTGTAAAATTTATCCAAGTAGAATGCAGGCTAGGCTGTCTTGGGGAAATAAACATTAAAACTTAAAGCAATGTTTTACATGGGGTGTGTGTGTGTGCTGTTTGGATTTTTTATATTACATATATATTAATGTAAAGTTAAGAGTATAACTGATTGGCTTGTTTTAGATTGTCCGTAAGCTTTTGACCTAGAACCAGAATAACAGAAGAAATGTCTTTTAGTACAGACTTAGTAATATTCTAACCCGCTGGATTTGTTCAGGTGACACTATCTTTGCTTCTGCTGTCCAACCCAAGATTTTGACCTTTCTTCATTCTTCCAGCAAAATGGACTGAGAAAGACAGCTTGAACTATATTTTACATAATACTCTTAACTTCAACACGTGGCTCCAAATGGCAGATTACATACAAAGCTTGTTTTTTACAGAAGGCTTAAATTAACAAAAGGTGAACATAACGGTATTGTGTATCATCCATGTTTCTTAGTAAGCAAAAATCTGGCTCAGAGTAAGCCAGTAAAGTTGTAAGAAGCCAAATGATTTTATAAAATAGTTATTTCTATAATACCTCCTAGTTGTGGATGATATCAACATCTGAATACAAGGGCTACCTGATGACCTAAATATTTCATTTCTACCTATGGTCTCATATAGGACATTGATTTTCTAATAGAATTCTTGGAAGGATTTTTCAGGGTCTGAAATTTGTTTCAGCACAGTTAATAGTTCACCACAGTTTATGAATTTAAACACAACTCTTTGGGGCGCCTGGGTGGCTCAGTTGGTTAAGCATCTAACTTTGGCTCAGGTCATCATCTCACGGTTCATGAGTTCAAGCCCCTCATCAGGCTCTCAGCTGTCATCACAGAGCCTGCTTTAGCTCCTCTGTCCCCCTTTCTCTCTGCCTCTCCCCTGCTTGCGCTCTCAAAAATAAATAAACATCAAAAAAAAGTAAACACAACTCTTTGTTTTATTCTCTACTGATAAAGAAACTGATTCCTTTTTAACATAGAGCATTATTTATGGTGAGGGGAAATAATGGACTAAGCCCTAATGTTCTTGACTTTTCACATCTTAAACTGCCTTTTGGAGCATTGAGCCCATCTCATAAAATAAGAATATTCTATTACAGAAGTGTGAGTAGCCCTAGTCTAAAATATATCTTTAAAGATATTTTTTCCTTTCTGTTTTGTGTTCTGATGGAATTAGTACTTTCCACATTACTCTGAACCAAAACCAGACATTTTGTATAACTAAAATTATTGACTAATGATTAAAAATACTCTGGAAGACCTTTTAACTTTTAGTTTAGGCTTACCTGGTAACTGCATTTCATAGGTTTTTTTGTTTCTTTAAAGGTATCCTTGCATTGTAAAATGATGGGGTTAATTGTAACATCAATGTAATTTGTGGAACACCCTATTTGCATTCTCCATTGCCTCATTTCCCTCAAGAAAAAGGAGAAATTAAGCTTTGTATTTTAAGAGAAGTGATATATATTCTGTTGCTCTATAACAAATTATTACACATATTTGGCTTCAACCAACATGTATTTATTATTTCACAGTTTCCACATGCCAAGAGCCCAGGTACAGCTTAGCTAGATCCTGTGCTCAAGGCTTTACGAGGCTGCAAAGTGTCAGCCAGAGCCACAGCCTCAAGGTTGGGGGTCCTGTTCCATGCTTATATGGCAGAATCCATTTCATTTCAGCTGTAGAACTCAGCAGCTTGCTACTTCAAGGTCTGCAGGAGAATCTGATTTCAGAGCAGGCCCTAACCCCCCTTTTAGAGGGTTCACCTGATTAAGTCAGGCTCATCCGGGGTAATCTCCCTTTTGATCTCAGAGCCAAACTGATTAATACCTAAGTTACACCTGCAAAATCCCTTCCCTTTTGCTCTATGTTGCAACCTATAACATCCATCATACTCACAGATTCTGCCCCACTTGAAGGAAGGTGATTATAAAGTATGTGCACCAGGGAATCTTGGGAGCCGCCTTAGAGTTCTGCCTACCACAAAGGACTATCAGTCTTTAGACCCTGGAACAATTTGGAAGTGATCCCCCTAATATAGTGCAAGTTTGGTTTGGGACCACCTATTGGAATTGAATGAAAACTCTGGACCAGCTTACTCCCAAATGCAGAAGCTAACAGCTTTTTAGGGAATCTGTAGGAGTCCATGAATTTCAGAGTATAAATGAATGATCTTAGTGCGCACCCCCCCCCCCCATTTTAAATGATTGCCAAGAGTCCCACAGCTACTAAGGGCTAGATGAAAGCTTTATCTCAATTCCCTTGTCATTGGAAGCTGCACTTCAGCCATTGTTCTAAGTTCATTTAAATTTGTAAACCAATGCATAAAATGATGCAGCCTTTTCTAACTTTTGAGGAATGGTAACACTTGTAAAAGCTTGAGTATGAATTTTGAAATTATTTTGAGTTTTCAAAACAATTTTCCATTGTAGATATTAAGGAGGTGAACTAGAAACAGGCCAACCTAGCTTGAATCAAAGGCAGTCACAAGTAACTTTTGAGGTTTGGTGAATTATTCACCTAAGTATAAAAGTTAACATCATAAGTATAAAGGTTGAATTGACTATTTTGAAGGTCAGGGAATCTGGTAAGTTTTTGTACCTCTTCTTGATTATTTTACTAATTGGCAAAATCCATTAAATATGAGCCAGTAATTTAATACTGACTAGGAAAGAAAAATTTGCCCAGATGTTTGTTTCAGTATTCCCAAACTAGCAAATCCATACCTAGCCAACTTGATATTTTGAACATTTAAAGGAGAAAACTTCCTTTTAATAAGCACATTGGGCCACCTAACTGGCTCAGTTGGTGGAGTACAGCTCTTGATCTTGAGGTCATGAGTTCAGGCCCCACATTGGGTGTAGAGATTACTTAGCAATAAAAGAGGGGTGCCTGGGTGGTTCAGTCGGTTGAGTGTCTGACTTCTGCTCAGGTCATCGGTTTGAACCCTGCATTTGGCTCTGCTGACAGCTCAGAACCTGGAGCCTCTTTCAGATTCTGTCTCCCTCTGTCTCTGCCCCTACCCCACTTGTGCTCTGTCTCTCAAGAATAAATATTAAGAAATTTTTTTTTACATAAAAGACCCATACTTTAAAAAATTTAAAAGTTTACCTACAAACCTTTTTTAAAATACATTAGTAAAATGTTTTTTAATATAAGTA